AAAAGTATGTGCTGTTCTTTTCTGTTCCCAGTGCCCGTGCTGGGAACCCATAACTCCAACTCCAAGAGACGTGACGCCCTCTTCTGGCCTCCACAGGTACCTGCGGTCATGTGCACAGACAATCACATACACATACAGAATACTGCAAATAAATCTTTAAAGAAGGTGGAAAAGTAGATGAAGTAGACAAGCCCCTGGACACCCAGACCCTACCCAGACAGAAACATGAGGAAACAGATACTCTGAGCAGACTGTGGTTATCAGTTCCTTCCTTGTATATAAATCAATACAACTCAAAAGAAATCCCAGAAGCTGGGTTTCCATTTTGTTATTATTGTTGTTGTTGTTCACTTGGTTTTTGGTTAACAAGATCATCATACTTATATGGAAATACAGAGGAATTAGAAGATCCAAAATGGTTTTAAAAAAGAATGAATGTGAAGATTCCTTCTTTGCTATCCAGCGTACTTTAAACCCACTACAATAAAGACAATGCTGTACTAGCAAGAAGCAAACAGACATGGGTTAAGTAGGGAAGAGAGTCCCCAGAACGAAGACAACACAGGACAATTATCGCTGAAAATGAACTGCTCCAGCATGCTTTACACAGGGCTTTTTAGATACTTCCACTCATAGCCCCCTCATGACAGACCAATGTTTATTCAACCCCCACTATACAGATTCCAAAACTAGGAATCAACCCGAATGCCCAACTTGTAAACCAGGATACATTCATACAGTGGATTCACTGCTGCATGCCACAGTATGCAGTAATCTCAGGCATGCTAATAAACCTGCTGTGACAGTTTATATGTCTTCAGCCCAGGAGTGACACTATTAGAAGGTGTGGCCCTGTTGGAGTAGGTGTGTCACCATAGGTGTGGGCCTATGCTGCCTGTAAGCAAGTCTCCCACTAACAGCCTTCAGATGAAGATGTAGAACTCTTACTCCTCCTACACCATTCCTGCCTGGATGCTGCCCTGCTCCCACCTTGATGATAATGGACTGAACCTCTGAACCTATAAGCCAGCCTCAATTAAATGTTGATCTTTATAAGACTTGCCTTGGTCACGGTGTCTGTTCACAGCAGTAAAATCCTGACTAAGACACCTGCATACTGCACAACTGCAGCTGACTGATATTTGGGAAAGGCAACTCAATCCTGAAAGAGCACAGATCTAGTGGAGGACTTTAGGGACTGGCTGCAGATGCAAAAAGGGAGGCCTGGGCATAACAAAACGATCCCTCACACACTTGCCCTGGCTCTGTATACCTGTCTATGTTTTCCAGAGGTCACACTGTACACCTAAAAACTGTGCAAAGGTGAATCTTATTATGTTTAGATTATATCTCATTAATTCCAACTTTTAAAAAGGAAGTTACTAAGTCAGTCCTAATCCTGAATCACATGTCAAATAAGGCTTTTCCTTTTAACAGCACCAAGACAACCTTAAGTTACAAATATCTTTTGTGCAAAATGAAGCAAAGCCCTCCAGGACTTTGTCAACTGAGAATAAGCTGGTTAAGTAATATGACAAACCCCAGGACTCTGCTGAGGAGCTGGCTCAGTGTGTAGGGGCACTTGCTGCTAAAGCAAGAGGATCTGAGTCCATCCGTCAGCGCCTTCTCAAGCCATGGCTGCCCAAGCTGAAGGGAGGCCTAGTTCACTGGTTAGCCAGCTAGCTGAAAAACAGGAAGCTTAAGAGTTCAGTGAGACCCTATTTCGAGGGACAATCGATGGAACAGGACACAGATGTCCTCCCTTCTGGCCTTCCCATGGTTGTCTGCATCATCCATACCACCCTCCTCCCCCCACTCTCCTTCACTTTCCCCCCTTCCTCTCTTTCCCTCCCTCCCTGTCTTCTCTCCAGGACAGTTCCAATTGAATTAAAATAAGATCCTGTTTTTGCTAAACTAGGGAAGTTCTTTTTACTCTGAGGGAGAAGGAATATTACAAACTCAAATTTATTACCAATAACCTCAACAATCTGATTTTCTTTCTTATATTATTTTTTTCATTTCTAACTTCTGTGTTTAGAAACAAACATTGGAAAGTTCAGACAGCTGCTGGCTCTGATGTCTTCCTGGTTAGACAACCAAAATAGCTAATAATGTTCAACTGCATTTATAATGAACGCTGAAAGACAACACATAAGAAGACTCAAGTATTTCACACAGCCAAACACCCACTAGTAAATCCTTCAAATGAAATGTCATGAAGGGGCTTTCCTTCCCTCCCCAAAAGAGCAAACATCTATCTAGAGATTAAGCATTGGCCTCAGTAACGTTCTTTAGAAAGCTGGAAAAATCCAGAATTTAATACTTTGTCCACATTTTTTGATACACGTGTTGGAAAAAAATAATTCAAAACCTTGGTTTGAAAGCCTTTGAGCTTTGTGTCAGCCGACAAGACTTCTGAAATTACTGCCTTTATCTTAGCAGCAGTGCAGGCCACATGCTGAAACCCACATCATGGGCTCTCTCCTCAAACAGAGAAACTCGTGCTGTGGAGAGAATACCTCAGAGGCTCCACTGACACGCAGGGTCTCAAACTCCGCCAAACACCAGCCCTACATTGTTACAAAGACGTCAGTTTCTAGCTTGAAAATAAAAAGGCTCACAGCATAGAAAATGTTTAATGATGTCAATGTGTGAATGGAAATTAAAATCAGATGCCAGCTGCCCTCCGAAGCAACTGGTATTTTTACCCCGTTGAATGTTAAAGGAATGTCAGTATCTGTTCTTCCATGAATCCTATGTGAATGTGGAAAATGTCAGCAGTTCTGTTGCAGACAACATAGTGAAGCTGCTTCGGCCTTCCTTCTCTAGAGCAAACATTGAGCACAATGACCAAGATCCACTCCACTGAGGTGTCTAAAGTGGGCTTTTTTTTGGGGGGGGGGAGGGATTTCAGCTAGGTAATACAATAAGCAAATAAAACAGGATTCCTTAAGCTTCGCCAAATCAAGCTTCCAACCATTACGACTTAAGAATAACTCTGTTATTTCAGTGGGTGGTAAGACAGGGTAATAACAGAAAGCACAAAAAACTTAAATTATAACTCAATACTCACCCCTTAATGTACAACTAAATTATGTACAATCCAGTTGTTCAGTGGCAAGATGAAATCTCTCTTATCTGTCACAATATGGCTACACTGGCTACACATTAACAGGCTATTACAGTAACACCCCAGGCCATGCAACTCTTATCACCTGTGCTGCTCAGACTTCCTGTCACTGTGACAAATCCCTGAGAGAAACACTTTTGGAGAGATTTACTTGACCTCATGGTTTCAGAGCTTTGGAGTTCACTGGTTTGGGCCTCGGGTGAACTAAACCATCATGATAATGGGAATACGCTGTGAACAAGGCTGCTCACCTCGGCTGCCAGGAAGCTGAGAACATGTGCTCATGCTACTGGGCTGCCTCCTCCTCCTTCTCCCTTTATTCCGCCTGGGCTCCAGGACTGTGGGTATTTCCAGCAGATGCAGGGCACATCTTTTTCCCTGCAAACATTCTCAAAGGAAGGTGCTATAGCTCATCTTTCAAGGTCACCAGCAGATGACATAAAGGACACGTCTCTGGAAGCCAGGCGGTGAGGGAGCAACAGATGATGCACTGTGCATTCGGTGCTGACCACTTCCAGTTCTGCTGACTAACCCCACTGCTGCCACAACTCTACACCATACAGTACAACCACAAAGCAGAGCAAAATTTAAGGCTTATACTTGTCCCGAGGCTATGTCCACTATCCCTGTCTTCTCTGTCACTCTCAAAGTTCTAAGTGTAGACTCCGCCCAGGTTAGAAGCTACACCTGAATTTCAGAAAGAGATATTCCACTGCTTGCTCGTAAGTAGTCAAGCTAGACTTTAAACCTACCATGCTTCAAATTGACCCTTAAACTATCTTTGATTAACATCCCATAACTAAGCTACTTTCTCCAATCAGAAAAAATAAAATACATGACAACTAATAGATAAGACTTCATCCTTGAGCACCGAACCTTAAACATGTGCACATTATATAAAACCCAGGGGGATGTCTCCAGAATACTAGAGGAAGAAAGCAGAGCTCAGTTACTTCTACCTCAAAACCAAATATCACATAATTTCTTAGTTTTGCCTGTATTTAGTTCCTAAGTTGTATGCATTATGTGGAAAATGGGAGAAAAATACCAAAACCCCACATTTTACTCTTAATTCTTTATACCAAAACTCAATGCCTGGAACAAGGTTCATAAACATCTGAAATAGTCACAAACGGAAAGCCTTGTTTCTCAAGGCTATTGGCCGTTTAAACTTTCATCAGAGTTTATAACATACTCTAGATGCAGTCCATCATTGTACCCATCTTCCTCTTAGCTTGGAAGTATTAGAAGACAGGACTGCAGCTCAGAGCCTGCCTAGCATCTACCAGGCCTGGGAGTGATCTAAGCAACACAAAGAGAGAAGAAAGGGGAAGGGAGGGAGAAAGAAAGGAGAGGTGGAGAAAAGAGGAAAGAAAGAAAATGGGGAAAGGGGGAGGAGAAGATAAGGCAGGAAAGGGTGCAGGAAAGGAGAAAATACTTAAACATTCTGAAGATAAACTGCTCAGGTGGTCCTTAATTTTCCCTGCTGCAGACCACGAACTGTACTGGAGAATAAGTAATCTGTCAGCTAAGCGTGAGGCTTTGGTTTTTATGAAAGACTAACTGAACAAGTAGAGTTAGCTGTAAGAGTTTATGGTTCCAGAGGTGATAGAAAATTGACTTTAAATTTAATATATGATTTTATTAATTCTTTAAGAATTTCATACAATGTATTTTTATTACACTCACCTCCCACTTCTTCCTCCCCTAACTCAAACTGACATTTGGAACTAGCCATGACACCACAAAAAAGAAACAATTTTCTACAGGAAAAACAAAACATACATAATTCTTATTAATCATACATCTCAAAAGAAAAACCTAGAAACTCTAAGCATAGGCCTATAAACCTATGACCACGAAGCCCTACCTTCTCTGACACACGGAGGCTGCTGGGCTCCTCTGTTTTTCTCAGTTGCTTTACAGGGTCACATCCATATATCCTGTCTTTAAGGCTGTGAAGCTGTGTATCAAGCGTGTGGTGGTGGAGACGGCCCGGAGAGCCCGGAGAGAAAGGACCACCATGCAGATTCTGAGTCAGGTTCGCTGAGACACCAAGCATAGGCTCCAGGCTAGACTCTGTTAGAGCAACCTGAGGAGGAAACCCCACACCCAGAAGGCTGGTATACTGAGAGCTTTCCTGTGGCCTCAGCTCACTTCCAGGGAGAACACGCCTATCGCTGGTAGCATTTTCTACATGTTTCCTGTCCACTGGAGCAGAATGCAGAATGGCGGGCTGTTGCAGCACAGCTTCCAGCCTGTGTGATTTCTCAGTTGCTGCTTGAAGAGAGCATGGGTGCAATGTTGGAACTGTGGTCTGTATGACTGAGGGCTGCCCAAGCTGCTGAAGGACTTGCTGAAATGGATGCTGGAGAATTTCTGTTCTCCCAGAAGTCTGTGTCACCATGACTGGTACATTGACTTTGTAAAGGTGACCTTAAAAAGAAAAAAATGAAACAGTAGTACAATTCTCTTTCAATGTATGTGTGTGTGATGTATAAGTGTGAATATAGGTATGTGAGCATGTGTGTGTGTGCATCTGTATGTGTGAGTATGTGTGTGGTGTGTATGTGTGTACCTGTGCATGTGTGCATGTATGTGTGGTGTGTATGTAATATATATGGTGTGTATGTCTGTGTGTGGTATGTATGTAAGTGTGTGTGATATCCACAGGTGTGCTCACAGACACCAGAGAAGGACATTAGTGTATAGTGCTATTTCTCTCTGCTTTATTTCCTTGAGGCAGGAGCTACGCTGGTAGCCAGAAAGTCCCAAGGAGCCTCCTGTCTTTGTCCCATACAGCACTAGCTTTCTTCGTGAGCGATGGAGATTTGAACTCAGGTCCCCAGGTCCTGTGCAATCGCTCTTACCCACTGCAATCTCCCTAGCCCAGTATAAGAAAACTCACATTTCCCCTGGTTGTCTCTAGGAATTTGTATTTTCTGCAATAAATATCCATTACTTTTAAAAAAATATATTTGTTTTTACTTTAAGTCTAGCCTTTCCTCCTGATTTTTAACAGACATGGGTTGGTGACAGGCCACCGTGAGCCTCCAGGAGCTCCAGAAGCTTTATCTGTTGGAAAAATGAATGCTACTAGCACACAATGAAGTTTTACTATGCAGTCACAAAAACTGCATTCCATGTACTTCAGATTTGCATACAAGTTATCCAAAAAGAAGAGTTTACTCTTTTAAGCCTCTTTTCCTTTTCCTTTAAAACAATTCAGAAGAACCCTGTTTCTACCATTTTATTCAATATTTGAACTTCCCAGCCACCAAATAAATCTGCCAATATGTTTTCAAACCAAGAGAAGCTCCCACAAGCCATGTCCTTCCCACTAAGCCATGAACTCTAGAGTAAGAAAGGAGGCAGGGGTTAGTCAGGCTTGAGCAGCAGCACTACAAAAACAGATACACTCTTTCATTGTATATTGCTAAAGTTGAGGCAAAGGGGGCAGCACACTGTCTCAGGTGGAATCCCCAGGAGCCACACAGTAGAGGGAAAAGAACCAACGTACACAAACTGTCCTCCCACTTCTGTAAACATGTTGGGTCACATGCATGTCCCCACCCCCACAGGCACATAAATACATAAACAACTTTAATGTTTTGTTAAATTTTAAGATTGATTTTATATGTATGAGTGCTTGCCTGCATGTATGTATGTGCACCACATGCATGCAGGACTTATTGAAGTCAGAAGAGGGCATCTGATGCCTGGGCGGCTGTGCGCTATCAGATAGATGCTGGGATTTAGACCCATGTCCCTTGGAAGTACAAGTGCTCTTACCACTGAACTATCTCTCCTAATTTAAGTTTTTAAATTAAAAACAGCACAATTTAGCTAGCTAATCTGAATTGCAGACAATCTATGCAAGGTCTCCACTGAGACGGAAAGAGGACTGAGATGGGTGGGGCCCCAGGCCAGGCCCAGCTCGGTGCCTTCCGTGCTGCACTGCTTTCCTAACAAGGGCAGCTACTCTTTATTTTTACCTTAAACATTTAATTAAAGGTTCCTATCACCTCCAGTGTAACATTTATTACAAATCATGAAACTTTTCAGGAAGTGGGGGAGTGGTAAGGAATTGATACAATCAATATACATTAAATATATGTATGAAATTCTCAAAAAGCAAATAATTTTTTTAAATCACATAACTTAATGTCCATGCTAACACCAAAGACCCTTAGAAATGCTCTCACCAGATGCCGTCTGGAGGACCATGCCTGCTGGGACGTGGATCGGATAGCCAGGAAAGGCAAAGTTTGCACCACAGCTGGCAGTGTTCTACACATAAGAAGTGGATATTACAAAATTACTAAAAGGATTAGAATTACATCTTTCACTTACACCATCACAGAGAGTCAAAGCCATGATTCTTGAGAAGACCAAGATCTGACTACACTTAACAATGAAGGCTGTGCTCTCTGACTATACACCATGTTAACATTTGGTTCAAATCATTCCATCAAAAGGAATTCCACTACGGTACTTAGCTATGAGGCCAGTGAATCGTAATGACAAGAATGGATATCATCCTATAACAGGGACTCAACGCACAGCCATGCCTGGACCACTAGTCCTCGAGGGGTCAAATGCAAGAGCCATGACTGTTTACAAGAATCTTTCAGACAGGCCTAAAATCAGCCATAGGCCTAAAATCAGCTATAGGCCTGTCATACATGTATACTAACACCAAGTCTTGGGTCTCTGTGGAAAAACATTGAAACAGATGGCTATAAGCTATTGTAAACAGGCAGCTTTTGTGGAAACTTACCAGCCCGAGTAGTCATAGACCTTGTAAATAGGTAGCCTTGGCAGACAATATCAACTTAGATAAGGACAAGTGAGTCATAGGCAGAGTCATAGTGACCTGTCCCCTGAACCTTCACCCAGCCGATACCCGGTTCTGAAAGATATCTGTATTCCCCCTGAACACCCACACTTCAGTGTCATTCCCTTCCCCACATCCTGCCTTTCTGTTTTTATAACCCCTGTGTGAATGAATTACGATTTGAGAAAAAATAAATAATTAAAAAAAAGAAACTTTCAGACTCTAAATTGATCTTTAGTTGTACTTTAAAGTAGATATAATAATGCATCTATAATGTATAATTTTATATAATTAAACTTAGGGTTTTAAAAACCCACTATATCAAGATAAACATTTCTGTCTATTAGATCTGCAAAAATGGAGATACGTGTGAACTAAGTTCCTGAAAAGGCCAGATTGCTGTCAAAGATTCTGCAAAATGAATGGCTCGTTAGGACTTCATCACTGTGGATGGAGAGTTGAATTGTTACAGACTGAGAGCCAAAATTTTCTTGGTTTTTCCTTATTCCCTGTAACAGCTGTATATCACCTGCCTGCTAACCTATGATCATACCACCTATGTTCTAACATTTTCGGACTGACAGGTGGAGGTGGAACCTATGAAGCCTATAAATTAGGCCACAGCTTCCCCAACCCAGAAGCTATGAATGTCTTCAAACAGCACCCAAAATCTACAACAGAGATGTCACTTTTTTGGCTGTAACCTGCCTGCCTGATGTCCTAGTCATGTATTTACTAAATACATTGACTTGTACCTTTTGTTCTGTGACTTTCAAAAGTCACATAAACATTTCTGTGATAAACACATCACTCGAGGCAGATTGTTCCCACGTTCTTAGCCTATTGTCATTCACATTTGGCTCAAAATAAATTCTTTCCCCTTTGAAACAAGAGCTATACTCTACTTTGATATAAATCACATGCAGTGTTGTTGAGGCTGTCATAGAAGTTGCTTTTCTTGGGCTACTTGTATAAGAGTGCATGCTAACTGGGACAACTCTTTGGGAGGACAGTTTTGCAGAATGCCATAATTTAAAATATGCATGACTCCTGTCTTGGAAATTTAACCTTTAGGAATTGACCTGATTATCTCACAAAGAACAGACATGTGCAAATACAACCAGTTATAATTATACATAAAAAAATGGAAATAATTTAAATGCCCCATCAACAAAATATTGCCTAACTAAACTGTGGCAATCCACTATGGCAGACCTTCATTTGCTTACAGAGAGAGTTCATTATTAGATAAGGAGACAGACTATGGAAAGAAGGGAGGAAACAGGAAGGAGGAAGAAAGTGAAGGAGGAGGAGAATATGATGGCAGAAATGATATAGAACACAATTCTACTGTGTGCCCTGAAAGATAATACAGCATACAGGAAATAAGTGAATACATTTCAAAGAATTACAGTAGTTATCTTTGAAGAGTAGGCTTTTTCACAGTTTGTTACCGAATTTGTTTTTATTTTTTTACAACATAGTATTTCTGTAATCAAGGAAAACAATGTCTCTATAAATCTCAAAGACATAGATGTCTCACTGGTCTCTTGTCAAAGCAAGAGCTATTGTCAAGCAAACCGTCACAGGAATGCAATCTTAATAAAGGCCATTGGCCGACCCACTAAGATTCACATCCCAGAAAGGCAGTCCGTGGGTTAAAACACAGTGTGAAATAGATCGTGGATTATAACCATCAATGCCACAGTAAGGGAAGGAAATGTGAAAAGGAATTGTTCCTCTCTATCTGAAAACTACGCAATTTCTATAAACACATAAAATTTTATTACCTGCCTCCAAGTAATAGAGAGAAAATATAATTCCCCTTCACCGAAGTAAAAACAACAACAACAAAAATTTAGCAAAATATTCCATTTAAACAAAATGAAAAACCATCACTCTACTCTTGAACAAAAGAAAATCAGGAGGAAAGATATATCAAAATTATCTACTTACTGGGCACCAAGTATGTACTATTGGACAGCACACTAAATCCCCACACATTATAATTTCAGGAATGTCCTAACTTTGATGCATAACTTCACTGAGGCTAACAACCGGGAGACTCATTCACTGCAAGGCTCCTGAAGTGTAGGATCCATTGCTGAGCCTCTGATTTCCCACATCTCCTCCCATTCAAGCTGAAGGCCATGTACTACATCTGTGCTCAACTTTCTGCACCCCTCAATGAAGGGACAAGCTACATACCAGGTCTTCTGGCGTAAAACTTTGGAGAGCTCTACCAGCTGGGATCAGCAACGATGCTACACAGAGAACAAGGTGGAACACAGCCATTAAAACTTACCTCTTTACATCGCCACACATAGGTAATTTTATTTTTAATATATATATAGTATTGAAATTAATTTTTATATAATATATTCTGATCACAGCCAATTGTAAAATTTTTTAAATATATTCTCAAGAGGTCATGTTAGACCAAGCTAAATTCTAATGGCTTCATCTGAGAGGAAAAGTGTTGAACTACGTATTTCCTGGCAACTTTAAAGACTTCACAACTAAATTACTTTAAGCTATCAATGTCAACTCTCTCATTAGAATCAAGCAGAGTGTACTTCAGAAATCCATAATGAAACATATAAATTGTCTTTGATAAGTCAAGGAAGCTCTAACACTCCCTGACAACCTTTCACCTGGCAAAGAATGTTATAAGAATATATTAGAGATGATACTATTGATGAAAAGCACATAAGCTGAGACAAACGCTAACCATGAGTAAAGCAAGTGTGGTAAGTGGGTGGAGACGTGGCTTTGTGAGGAAGGGCACTATTACCCTTCCATAAGACCTGACTTCTATTCCTATACCTAGGTCAAATAGCTCTCACCTGTAATTCTGACTCCAGGGGTCACTGGTATCTCTGGCCTCTTGCAGGCACCTGCACTCATATGAGCATACATACTCACATACAGACATAGACACATAATTAAAAATAAAATTTCAAAAAGAAAATGTGGTGTATGTATACAAATGAATTTTAAAAAGAAAGATGGAATTATGGCATTTGCAAGGAACTGCATAGAACTTAAAGTCCTTATATGACACACAAAGCCCACTCAAAATGACAGATAGATCATGACATCTCTCATGGGAAACTAGAATTTAAAGTCTGTGTGACATGTATGTGTGACACTAGATGGGCAGGACTGTGGTGAGGGAGTCAGATGGAGACAGAGGTCAGAGGGGATGGCTGAATTACAACCAAGGACAATGACACACATGAATGAAAATGCCATAATAAATTAAAAGTCATTTTTAACATCAATGTTATTTAGCCTTTTAAAAAAGGCAGGGTATTTTTAGCATGCTTATACAGCCATGTATGTGTTGAGTGTGATGTAAATTATGGCTCTTTTTTCACATAGTAAACCCAGGAGAATTGCTCCAAGGTCTGTTTTTGATGCTAGAATGGCTCCATCACACACAACAAACAGCTCAAAGCTAACCATCCTCTGCACATGAAATACAAGTGAGGTTATGGACTGACGGTTAATGAAGTACACAATTATTTTTATCCTCTACTCATCTGTGGCTTGGCTTATTAGCAGGCATTCTGTTAGAAAAGCCAAGTGACAAACAACTGGAGTGGCAGGAACTCAAAGGTATTGATGCCATAATTAGCTGGAGTGAGCAAAACTGGCGCTGCTCCAGCTTAAGTCTGGGAGGCTACAGAATGTTCTTTGGCATTTGAATCCTAAGGAAAATCAGCAACAAACCTTCTCTCCTAAGTCCGTTGTAAAAACTCTTAAAGGACAATTCTTCGTGTTCAAGGGAATCAAACAAAGTTATAGAGAACACAATTCTTCATAGACTTCAGAATAAAAGCCAGGACTGACAGAACTGTAAAGTTCTATATAGGCCCCACTTAACTTTAATATGAGGTTCACAAGTTCTATGTCATTAAGCTTGGCTGAAAATTTAAAATATTCAGCTTTGTTTCATAACCAAGTAACTTTTCATTAAATATGTATTTTAACTCAAATGAAGTATTATAATTTTAGATTCCATAGATGTATTCCAGGAACATTAAATTCAAAACAATAAATTTTATAATACTAGCAAGAATTCAATTCTACAAGCATAATGTAAAAATGTTCAACATAATAATCTGGGTCAACTATATTAAAATTTATAAGTACCTTTTCTAATCTACAACTAAAATTCTGATAAATTATAGCAGTACTTGACCTCATTTTGAGTTTATACAAATCTTAATATGTGAGCCATATGTCTTAGGGTTACTACTGCTGTGGAAACACCATGACCAAACCAATTTGAGGAGGAAATGGTTTATTTGACTTTACATTTCCACATCAAAGTCCATAACTGAAGGAACTCAGGACAGGAACTCAAGCAGGGCTGGAACGATACAGAGGCCATGAAGGAATACAGCTACAGGATTGTTCCTCATGGCTTACTCAGCCTGCTTTCTTATAGAACCTAGGAGCACCAGTCCAGGGATGGCACCACTCACAATAGGCTGGGTCCTCCCCCACCAAACACTAATTAATAGGATGTTCTATAGGCTTGCCTGGTCTTGCAGAGGCATTTTCTCAATTGAGGCTCCCTGTGACCCTTCTCCAAGTTAATTCTGATTGGTGAATAAAGATATTGATTGACAGCCAATAGCTGAGCAGATGAGACAGAGGTAGGACTGAGGTTTCATGGGCTTGGGGAAGAGAAGGACCATGAGGAGGAAGAAGAATGAAGAGAGGAAGGAGGAGAAGAGGCCATGATTTAAGAGTCAAGAGAATGTTGTTTTACAGGATTGAGGAAGAAGAAGGTGCAGGAGGGAAAAAAGAAGAAGCCACCATGGGTTACTTGAGCTATAAAAAACATGGCCCTGTGGAATGGCCAATTACAGTTAAGAACAGCCCAGATGAAACATAGTAAGTAGTAAGTAATAATTCAGGGATATCAATAGAAAAATAGATTCTAATACCATGGAGGCTAGGCATCTGCCCAGCTCTTGTGCTGATTAAGGCCTGTTGTAAATATAAAGGCTGTGAGTGTGTCTTTCATCCAGGAACTCAATAAACAAAGGCTAGGTAAAAACTCCAGGCTTGGATTCAAGTAATTCATACAACATACCTAAACCTGCTAGGCCATCTGGTCGACCCTTTCTTGATTAAAGCAAACAGAAAAAGCCAGCCAGATGTCTCAGCAGGAAGACATTTGCCACATAACCCTGACTATATGAGCTTGATCAGGAGAACCCATTGACACATAAAGCCAGATTTGTTAGCATGAATCTGTAATCCTACCATTCTTGTAGCAAGATGGGATATGGAGACAAAAAAAATAACAACAACAACAATAATAAATCCAGGAGCTCAGAGGCAAGATAGCCTGAAGTATATAGCATGCCAGAAATAAGAAAATCCTTGCCTCAATAAGGTGGAAGAAAACCAACCTGAAACTTGTCTTCTGGCTTACACACACACACACACACACACACACACACACACACACTATATCCCAATCACATGGATACATTAATAAGTAAAATTTCAAAATGAAACAGTTTATAAATAAAGGACATTTTCTTAAGAAAATAAAGACAACGAGAGCTTGAGAAATGGCTCAATGCTAAAAGTGCACCCCTTCAGCTCAGTTCTGTTACACAGCTCCAGAGGATCAAGCACCCTCTTCTGGCCTCTGTAGGCACCTGCACACATGTGCATATATGCACACAAAGACATACATATATATACAATGAAAAATAAACAACAAATTGTTTAAGGACTATGAAAACTTATAGCTGACATCATAAAAGGGGGACCTACAAGCTTTTCCTCCATGATCTTCCATAGGGTAAGGCCCATCTCTCACCATGTCTATTCAATACCATACCAGACATCTAAGAAAAGAAGAGAAGAGAAAAGAAGAGAAAAGCATACAAACCAGAAATGAAAAAGCAAAATTAGTTCTATCTGCAAATAATATAAACCAACACACAGAAAACAACAAAATCCACAAAAAAAAAAAATGAACAAATGAGTTCTATAAAGTTTTAAATTCAAGTCAATTTTTAAAAGTCAACTGTCATCTATGTGGTGGTGTCGCACGCCTTTGATCCCAGCACTCAGGAGAGAGAGGCAGGAGGATCTCTGAGTAAGAGATCAGCCTGATCTACTAAGCGAATTACAGGACAACCAAGGCTACACAGAGAAACCCTGTCTTGAAAAATCAAAAACCAAAATCAACAACAACAAAAAAGTCAGTTGTGTTTATGAACAAAAACAGCCTACCTAAAAAAGAAATCAAAACATGACAGCATTTTAAAAAGCAAATACTGGGGGCTGGAGAGTTGGCTTAGTGGCTAAGACATCTTATTGCTCTTCCTGAAGACCCAGATTCAATTCGAAGCAACCACATATCAGCTCATACACATCCATAACTCCAGTTCTAGGAGTCTAGTGCCCTTTCCTAAGCTCCTTGGGCACCATCACACATATGGCATTCAGCCATACACATGTAAAACAGACATTTATACAAATAAAAATGTAAAAAAAAAATACTTTTGCACAACTTCAATCAAGAAGGTTAAAGATCTGTACCTCTAATCAAAAAGGGGTTTTTAAGTGAAATTGAAAAGGTTATGAGAGTGGCACATGCCTAAAACTCCTGTACTCAGAGGGCTGAGGCAGGAGGATAACAAGATTGAGGCCATTCTGGGACACACAGTGTATGATTTGAAAAAGCATGTCCCCAGATGCTCATACATTTGAAAACTTGGTTCCCAGGTTGTAGGCTGTGTAGGGAAGTTAGGATGTAAGGCCTTGTTGATGAATCATTGGGGGTGAGCTTTGAGGTTCCAAAAACACTCGTGCCATGCCCATTGGGTTTCTTTCTCTGCCTAGTGGCTGTAGATCAAGATGTGAGGTCTCAGCTGTTTCTTCATTTCACCATCATGAACTCTGACCCTCTGAAACTGTAAGCCAACTTAACATGCTTCTTTCTTAAGTTGCCTTGGTCATGATGTTCTATCACAGCAATAGAAAAGTAACTAGGACTCACAGTGAAAGCCTGTCAAGGAAAAAGGAAGAAGAGAAGGGAGAGATGTGACGTAGAAGGGAAGAAGATGGAGGGAGAGGGACGGATTAATTTAAGCCAATGGTTCCCCATGTTCCTAAAGCGTCAACCCTTTAACACAGTGCTTCATGTTGTGATCCCAAACCATAAAGTTATTTTAATTGATACTTCAAAATTATAATTTTGCTACTATTATGAGTCATAATGTAA